AAATCGGTGTCGCCGGGAATCCTGTCACTTGGATCTCCGACTTTCTTGACGACTGCGCCATGCAGATGCAAGTAAACGAAATATTTTCCGCTCCTTTCCTCATTATTAGCGGAGTTCCACAGTTTTCTCTCCTCTGCTCCCTACAGTTCAATGTCTTCGTCAACGACCTGATGTCCACATTCCGTACGGACTGCCTGATCTACGGTGAGGACTTGAATCTGTGGATGGAGGTGTCCAACATGAAAGTTGCTGACAGATTACATTCTACGCGTGACTTGCTACATCCTTGGTCGAATAACTTGCAGTTTGAACAACGAAATGAGAAGACGAATATTGGCAGATGCTGGCATTTCGTATTATGTCGTCAGTACCAATACAATAACAGGGAAATCCTTTTATATGTCTTACAGAGCACAGTCAAGCCAATCAAATTTATGGTTGTGGTCATTGTTGTTGGGATTAGGTCCACGGCAACCGCAGGTTGACAACTAATTGTTTTTGGACACACAAAGCTGGTCTAATGCGGCTTATCGCAACGGCCTCGGCAACTCGTAAAAGGTGTGCATTGATATGACGTAACAAGATCCGGAACGCCGATAAAGGATTAGCCCGGTGACGAGTCGCCAAGATGTGCCTGCCTATGGAGGACGCTGGCGGCTTACGCGAGCACGTATCATCGGAGGTGGATTGAGTAACTTCGCGCTGAACCCAGTTTGGTAAGTGTTCCTTTACTCGAATCTAAAACCTATTCGGTCCTGCCGATGTAACTGATACCGCAGTCACACACGAATTGGTAGACACAATGTGATTTGGCGCTGACGGGTTCATCTTCCTTTACTGAAGATAACGGCAACATTCGGGTTCTGTTGATAAGTACCGCCTCTTCTGCAGCACAGTATGTACGCTGAATGGCCGAGGCAATGCGTTTGGTTATCCTTCTTGCTGCAGTGTCACCCTTGAATGGTAGCTCGATGTACACCTTTTTCTTAGGGGCTGTCAACCAAATCTCCTTGGGCGGTCTAACTTGGCTATGTTTATCTATGAATCGCTTTGCGTAGCCATTCTCCATAAGTGTTTTAGTGATCAGCTCAAACTCCTCAGGCAGGCAGTCGTTGGAGCAGATACGTCTGGCTCGAGTGAATAATGTTTTTATCAGCGCGCGCTTGTGTGCCATCGGTGAGAAGCTAGTGAAGTGTAGGTATTGGCCGGAGCACGTTGGCTTCCGGTATACAGATCGCTTAATCGGCCCATTATCCTTGCGACTCATGAGAATGTCGTGATACGGAAGGCGCCCATTCGATTCGAATTCATAAGTCACTTTCAGGTTGAGGTGAACATTATTAGGTTGGTTTATTGATTGTTTGATTTGCATCTTCGTGGAACCGAAAACAAGGATATCATCTACATATCGTTTGTGCTACGGCAGCTAAGAAATCTGTCCACTTAGTTTCCTCTCAAGCATCAGCATGAAAAAATCAGCCAGTACCGGACCCAACGGACTACCCATAGCCACTCCATCAACTTGGTGATATGAGGTGTGCTGGAATCGGAAAGCGACATTCTCTATGCAAAGTAACAGGGATTGTCTCAGGAGGTCTGCCGGTAATGGTAGACGGAAATTCTCGTTTTCTATCAGGTGGAAATGTAATCAACTGCCTCTAACAAAGGGACATTAGTAAAGGACGAGTGGACGTCCACTGAGCACATAACCTTGTCGGCTAGGCTGATGTTGTCTAAGTCTGATTATTTCAAAAGAGTCCTTAATGCTGTATACATTGGAGTGCTGCCTCAGTGGCGCAAGGATCCGAACTAACCAGCGAGCCAATTTGTGCTGCGCGGAATTTACCATCGACAAAATGGCTCTTAGTGGCATGCCCTGCTTGTGAATTTTTGGTAACCCGTACAACTGTGGTGTCAAGGAACCGCTCGGCTTCAGGTGCTTGTAGGTGGTTTCATCAAATACACGATGTAGTAGAAGCCTTTCCAGTTGTCGGGTTATACGGGCCTCTACCTCTGTCAGACATTCTATCCTGTCGGTGCATTGAAACATTATTCACTGGTGCCTAATGTATCTGCTCCAACGGCTGCCTACCTGAGGAGTTTGAGCTGATCACTTAATTACTTATGGAGATTGGCTACGCAAAGCGATTCATAGATAAACATAGCCAAGTTAGACCGCCCAAGGAGATTTGGTTGACAGCCCCTAAGAAAAAGGTGTACATCGAGCTACCATTCAAGGGTGACACTGCAGCAAGAAGGATAACCAAGCGCATTGCCTCGGCCATTCAGCGTACATACTGTGCTGCAGAAGAGGCGGTACTTATCAACAGAACCCGAATGTTGCCGTTATCTTCAGTAAAAGAAGATGAACCCGTCAGGGCCAAATCACATTGTGTCTACCAATTCGTGTGTGACTGCGGTATCAGTTACAACGGCAGGACCGAACGGGTTTTAGATTCGAGTGAAGGAACACTTACCAAACTGGGTTCAGCGCGAAGTTACTCAATCCACCTCCGATGATACGTGCTCGCGTAAGCCGCCAGCGTCCTCCATAGGCAGGCACATCTTGGCGACTCGTCACCGGGTTAATCCTTTATCGGCGTTCCGGATCTTGTTACGTCATATCAATGCACACCTTTTACGATTTGCCGAGGCCGTTGCGATAAGCCGCATTAGACCAGCTTTGTGTGTCCAAAAACAATTAGTTGTCAACCTGCGGTTGCCGTGGACCTAATCCCAACAACAATGACCACAACCATAAATTTGATTGGCTTGACTGTGCTCTGTAAGACATATAAAAGGATTTCCCTGTTATTGTATTGGTACTGACGACATAATACGAAATGCCAGCATCTGCCAATATTCGTCTTCTCATTTCTTTGTTCGTACTACTGAAGGGAACTAACTGTTTTAAATTTCTTAAGTAGCAGTTGCCGATGAGTCGGGAGAAATGTTCGATTTTTCAGGTTGGTGTTTATGACCCATTTGGAGTGTGCCATATTTGTGGTTACTTACTCAAACACCGCTCACTAGAGGGATCTGGGATTGGTGGTTTCCCAGACCTCAGATCTATTTAGCATACCACGTAGACCGTCCCCGCGACCTACGGGATGCTTCATTTTATACCTAGCGCGTTCTGACGCTTGGGCTCGATTACGGACTACTTGCCGCTTTCCCTCCACCAAATCCGACTGAGAAGTTCCAACGGCTGGATCTAAATCCGTACCTGAGCTGCAGGGCTTGTTCTATCTCCTCCGACTTAAACAACGCATCATCCCCCTGGATTACTGTCATCACTGCTGAGATTTGACTCACCCGACCTATTCTTGGAGGCATGTTTGGGAGGAAATTACCGGACTACTTTCATCTCAATACTGATAGTTCGACACGAAGTCACAGTTTGAAACTATCCATATCCAAGATTCTCCGTGTGTGATCCAGCCTGGCTTTATCTACTCGCGTCGTGATTGTTCGGAACCGCTTACCGAAGTCCATTGTCTATGCTGAGACAGAAGAGCGTTTCAAACAACTGTTGAATTCTCATCTCAGTTTTTCGGGATCCTGCTGTTTCCAATGCAGCTACAGTGATCCTCTGCCGGACCTTGTTTCTCAGCGACAAAGGACCTGTTCTCTATCACCCAATGACTTCATCGAGACATTTAGAGTGAATCAGTTTTACTTGGAGGGATCACGTACGGCTGCTTTTTCTGCACCATTGGTTCCGTTTGATGCACCGATCATGATCGACCCACAATCTTGCAAATTGAATCCAGCAAGCTATTCACATCTTTCTGAGCGACATCGCAGTATCCGCAGCACACACACACACGCAACGCTGCCTTGGCACGAGACTGTAATGTATTGCCGACGCCGTACACTTGGTTTGGTCATCTCGAGTGACGAGATTACTGAGGCAATTACTGCATGAATTTTTGCTAATCCTTTTGTGGCATCAAGCGCGATTCAGCTATGCAGACAGGAAGATTAGGACTCATCGACGAGCTGCGGATTTCCTAACCCCTGCTCTGCAACCAATGTCACTGTTTGAATCAGCGACTTGCTCAAGGCGTACTGATAACCTTATAAAACTTTTCAAGTTTTCTTTAACACTGTGAAAGATGAAAGTATTGGTAGGTACATTTACTTGCAATTGCCGCCTACACAACATCTGGTGATTCACGATGTGGAGAGCTTGTCGGTTGGCTTCTGACTGCACTTCTCTTGCTGCACACAGGTGATGGCTTAAGTTTGCTTCGCTTAGGCTTCTACACGAATTCTTTTTGACCCTCAACTCAGTGTGTATTGCTCGTCAATTTTAAACCTTATGGCAACAATTCTCCAGAGTGGTCATTGAGTGGTAGGGCAAAAATACCTAATAATACTCATCGGGCGACTTGATCAGGCTGTTATACTCCATTACCTAATTGAGGTCTAATGCGCTCGCTGAGCCAATAGTTGGTGCCGTTTTTCGTGACAGTTTTGCAAATTCCATGGTGTCCTTGCACTCGGCCTACTATTGCTATCCTTCGGTCTTTATATCTAGCGACTGTACGTTTTCATTCATTTCCCAGTGGCCTCTTTAATGGATTTCGTATTTTTCTTCCTTTTTAACTAATTGTTTTCACTTCTTAATGCAGTTCAAGGCAATTGTATCCATTGTATTTCACTGTCCAGATTATACTTGACTAACTGGACCAAGTTAGGGACCAGGGTAATCCGAGCCGAATGCATGTCTGTTTAAAAATCCTTTGTCTTATCACGCACCTTGTATAGTAGGCCTCGGTACCACCGTTGTTACCATCAAGCCCCTTGTTGTCAGCGATGCACTTGTCCAATCCAGAGAGTTGAGGTCACCGAATTGCGATCGCTTTACTGAACGCTTGGGACTTCTGCACTGATTCACTTAGATAAGTGCTCCACGCTTACGGAATTCATGAGCATTTCTGTCGCGGTTGGATATGTAAGCTTCACGTCTAATCTGGCTTTCAAACATCAGTCTACTCCTTAGTCGCTCCCTGCACAGCGTTTGGTGTTTTGACCTCTTTTCAGTCTATATTACTACTGTTCGCACTACCCATTGATTGCTTATGCCACTTTCCGATCTCTGGCTTTTTGCTGTATTCCCATTTCTCAGTGATTTCACTGTTTTAGCTGCACGATGGCATTGTTTACTCCTACAAATCAGAAGAGGTTGACCAACGTCTCTGTGGTCCGATTACGAAAAGGTGGCAATCGTTATGAATTAGCCTGTTACCCAAACAAGGTTCGAGCTTGGCGAGACAAACTGTACGTTTCATTTTTTCCTTCCTCATTCGCACTCAGAGAGACCGACTTAGACGAAGTGTTGCAAATTCGCTGTGTATTTTCCAACGTATCCAAAGGACAGTTTGCAAACAAAAAGGAAATGTTTCTAGTCTTTCGCACGGAAGATGAAACCCAAATTATTAAAACAGTAGTTCGCTGTTTTTAATTTTTCCAGATTTTAGAACAAGGCGAACTTCAGTTGACAGAGAAGGAAAGGTCTGTGGAACAACAAAGTTTATTTCGAGATGTTGCAAAGATGGTATCAGAACGGTGTGTGAACCCGGAGACAAATCGGGCGTATACCGCTACTATGATCGAAAAGATGATGAAAGACTGTCATATTTCCCTCAAGGCTAATAAGAGCGCCAAACAGCATGTAACTCACTTCATCATTTTCCTAGGAACCCCCTTTCATCCTAGGCACTTGAGGTCATAAAACTGCTTCGTGCGGCTGGCAATTTCAAAATTGCTCCAGCGATGATGGAGGCCGTCATCTCTATTGACCCAAACGTCGCAGACCGTGTCAGGGATCACGTCCTCAAGTTCTGCACCGATGTTATTCGTCAAGGTTGTACAGAAAATGGCAACTACGACATGGTAAGTTTAACTTGCCATTATAGTTAAATGAATTCTCAGGCTTCTGGCCGCACAGTATTTTTATTTTAAAGTCTAGCCGTTAAATACTTGTATCACAATTCTACAGATTGAAAATATGAGCTGCTTCTTCCTTTGATTGACACTATACTACAGACAAAACCGAGCAACTCACGGTATTAATTCGGCAATTCATAGTTTTCAGTTGTCTCTAAATTGCTTGCGTCTGTCGTTCTCCACAGACTGGCTGGCACTCATGAATGCCAGCTTCGGGAGGAGCAAGTCATCTTTCGTCGAAATGGCTGCTGTATTAGTCACATTTACTTTACGTCAGTTAGCATACCGCGATCTTTATTGACTACCCACGTGCTTGTGTTTCTCAATCCGGTGGATCGATGTACCTTTCGACACTGTCTACTTATAGAAGGTATACCCGATAAATACTTAAGCATTTTAAATGCGCTTTACCCGCATATTTCGGCTCGAGTGAGGGCTTACGGCAAACTGTTGTTGCCCTTCAATATCTCCCGCTGTGTGAAACAAGGTTACTCCCTGTCACCTATCCTTTTTACTTTAGCCATTGATATAGTCATGGGAACGGCGTTCACTGACACGACCTACAAGGTATGAAGCGGCTTCCTGGTGAGCGACTTGGAGTACGCCGACGACAGCTCCTAAACGTACCAAGCAGCACTGGTCAGATTACCACTGGCTACCAATCGTTTTGGGCTATATCTTAACCCTCGAAATGCAGTCCTTCTCTATAATTGGCAGGAATCCACCTCTACGTTGACCCATAGTGTTGATCATTTAGAAATCGTTCAGAAATTTAAGTATCTCAGCATGTATATTAACGCATGTGGAATAGACGAGGTCTCGTACAGTATTGCAATGGCTCGAGGCGCTTTTGCCAATCTATGCCACTTGCGGCGCCGGCGCAACATCACTGTCACCCTGAAGGGCAGAGTTTACGATGCAGCCGCCCGTTCAACTCTCCTGTGAAATTGCGAAACCTGGCCTATTAAGTCGACAGACAAAGAAGCCAGCTGCGTTCGACTATTCTGTACTCAGAATCAGAACCAGAGAGTCGAATATTCGTCACACTGCAGTTATGTGTGTTTCGGAGACACAGTACACATCAATACCAAGTGGGTGAAAATCAGTACTGCCTGCTTGCCTATTTGACTTAGAGTGCAAACAGTAGGCGAACCAATGTGAATTGAAACTAGCTTTGATGAAAGACCTGCTTTATTCGATGGTAGCAGCAGCGAGATCAGTGGTAATATCTGTTAAAGTCCAACTGCGGAAGTAACACAAGCTTGCGAACGCAATAATGGCTCTTAGCCGAATGACGCCAAGACAACAGAACACGTCTAGCTAATGGCGTGCAAATGTGTATTCTGGCCAGAACAAGTACAGAGCATCGATCATGTAACTGAAGCCAACCCCTTGTGAGTGGATGCTCGATATGGAGACAGACGCACACGGTCCATATTGGTGTGAACACTGATTGGCGATGGTAACTCGCGTTACAGTATCCTACCCAATCGATGAAAGAGAAGGGGGTTGAGAGGGGAGGGCAAAACAAGGAGAGGGAATATTATCGATGGCGTCAAACAAATCTTGTCCGGATTCGCCTGTAGCTCAATTAAAGCTTTGACGATGCTACCTCGATCGTTGGTGAAACGGCTGTAACCAAATCACAGCTACGCGAGCAAACCAATGCCACTACTGTCAACCTGCACTATCAATGTTCCGCGTTATTACAGACTTTATATGAATCTTTTCATCGTCAGACATTATCTGGAGGTCATTAACTCTTACCGCTAAAATACAGCTATTTATGACCATGATCTGTACTTTTCACTTATTTGGCGTAGAGCATGGTTGAGAGATACTACTGAAACGCCTAAAGTCGGCCAGAGACGATCGTTGGTATATGGGTTGCAAGGCAAATGTCAGAGCCGCTACGTCACAGATACCCGGTGGTAAAAATTATCTGTTGCTCGCCGGTTAACTACCATGCAGCTGCTGTTCCACAGCCGCTTGACAGTTGGATGTAAACCCGCCACGGGTGCATACTCTGCTACGGCGGGAACACCTGTGCCCGTAGTTTCGCATTTTCACAATTTGATTTCATGTGGCCTCAATCAAATTCCAGTGTGACTCCGCACTTACTTCTTATCAAACTCCCTCCAATGCTTCGTGGGGCAGATTCTCCCGGTCGAGACCGTCTACTGCTTTGGGGGTTATATTCTTAAACTGAATACGCTTGGGTGAGATCCTTGATGCTGTTGATTAGGCTTCAATTAAAGTATCTTACTCATAAAGAAAAGGATCATTCTATATCTCACATGCATTTAAATCACTCACAACGCGGTGAATTCCCTCCGGCTGTTTCCCTCGTGGCACCCGCCTGAGTTCTGTTCGTGATATTTCAAATCAGTTTTCTACTTGACACTATCGACGCGTTCAGCCAGGTTCGATTTGGGGCTCTCGACGCGCGTATGCAAGGAATCAGCCTGGTTTAATTACTGCTCGTTCGCTGGCTTCGACCGAAGTGACCACATAGTGTCATCCGACCACAATACCCAATCATCAACAAACTTTCCACTTCTGTTTCTTCTCACCTTATATAGTTGGTACAATCAACGAGATTGCCTTCCGCATTTCAACGCACTAACAATGCCTCCGCGCGTGGTGGCGAAACGTATGCAACAGTTTAATCAAGCTCGGCGAGCCAGTCAACAGCTGATGCTATTCGATCCATCTCCAATGTTATTTTTAGCGGTGAAAAGCACGGATATGGTGTGATGTAATATGACTTCTCATTGAAACCTGTCTTTTAAAGCATAAGTGGTTTTACGAGGCTCTGCGATTCCGATTATTTGAAGCTGTATTAATGATCTTGTCTAGTCTGGCAACGAAATGTCTACAAACTAATGGTTCCGCTCGGAGAACAGCGCAAAACCTGCATCCACACTCCGAGCTACCGATATTCTCAAGTATTTTACAACCTCTCAGTTTGGCCGCCCATAGTCCGGGACGTTCCAATTCCAATGCTATCCCTCTGAACCCACCCCACTCACTCCGGTCTGCATCACGTTTTCGTGTCGGCCTCTCAATGACAGACTGACCAGAACTCAACATTTTAGATGACAAGGGTCTTGACCGTTTTAAAGCATTTGCCTCTGTTTTGACCCCACCAACTTGTATTCCCTCCTTAGGATTCATTCTTTTGGTTTTTATAGGACGCTTAACTTCGGAGGTTGCCTATCAACTATGTTTGCAGTCCTCAATCTAGTGTTGCAAGCTCCAACCTTGGCTACCACTAACAAACGAGGTGGATGCACCGGCATTACTTATAATCGCGTCCATGCTCCATGGAGAAGATTTTCTACACTAATTTTCCGTCTGACCTGAGGCGTTCGAATCATGTATATCTGCAACCTCCGATGCGGCGTCTGTGTAGTTTTCGAAATTGATTGGTAATCTTGCTAGATAGTGAATACTCTTCATATGAGGAAAGTTATAATTTCGAGCACCCAGGTTCTGTTCCAATTCATTCAATGCAGCCCCTAAGAAATGTTCCACAGATTATACACAGGTTGGCGAGCAAATTAACCTTTTGCCATGTCACCTTGAACGATGAGCTGAGGAGCATTTCTACTGGCCTGTTCTCGGGATGTGTAGTCTGGGTCACCTGGATACGTCTTGAACGTAGCAAAGTCCACCGACAGAATCCTGCACGAGCTGCTCCCGTGTAGGTGGAACAACAGGATACTTGACCCCAACTACTTCCATCATTGATAAAAGCCGTTGATAGGTTGCCTGGGACTGACCTGCCTACTCTGCTCGACATTGTCTAACGCAGTCTGAAAGTGCTGTCTGACCGGTCTCTGTCGAAAGGCACTCTTGAGTAGAAAGAGCCGAAGGATGTCCTGCGAAGCTGTTCATGGTATCGGTGTAATTCCGATTGCCTTCAACTTACTGGCGTGCATCACGCTGCTGCGATCCACTGATCCTCGTTAACACCGAATCTGTGAGAATCAGTTCGCCTTCAGCCTCAGTTGTGGGCACCTTACTCATCTCCCTCCTCCATCGATGCATCAACCTTACCGTAGTGGCCTTTATTACCTTGTAGGGTGTATTCCATTTTGCTGACCACACATGTGGCATATCCAAAAAATTTCTGTTTCGACATCTGTATCTCACGATCGCCGGTGACCGTGTAATGGCCTACGGGTAACTCTGCTTCTACTTCGCAGGGATTATTGGGGTGCATCAGCGTGGTCCTATCTCTCTTCTTTTTTTCAACGTGGTGCTTGTATTAACCATGGGCGATTCCCTATTCAGCATTTTATGGGGTATAACGTCCGTTTGTTACGTGGATGGCGTGGACCGTTGCTATACCGAGCCAACATGCTATATGTTTAGAGTGTCACCGCGCAATCACTGTAAGTGTTCGATTGGCTTACTTGTATATTCATCTGCATCACCTTTGGCGTTCGCATCACTGAAGAGATCGCCGCACGCGTTGCTAAATCCCATGAGGTTTGTCAAAGCCCAAGTCACTTATGTCAACAGTGGGAAACAGTATTATTTTCGTTAGCAGTCTGAAACGTCACTGCTTAACTAGTGCTACCATATAAATCCGATATATGGTTCTTCAGAATATGCTATTAGCCATGCTTGACCGTCATTGCTTGCGAAGTATTGCCTCTTTCTACTTAGACACCGAATAGTTAGCGCCATATTTCATCATCTGGTGGTTGGCACCGAGCCCTATAGAGTCATATTGAAGTATTTGTTGAAGTCAAGCCACCTACACTGACTAGGTTATATCCGACTTGCCTCAACGCGCATCGTTAGCGAGTTCTTTGTACGGTTGAGTGAAACCCAGAAATACTTGCCATCGACATATCCGAGAACATGATGAAACTTAATGTAATGTTGAATCGGCTTGTTATATCTTATCTTCTTTCATGGGGGTCCTCGAGGCCAACTACACCAATGACTGGAGCCATACCGAATATGGTAGAGTCGCAAATTTGTTGACGCTTGCATTTCCTCATGTTTTAACTTTCGTTCTCTCCTTGTGATGATTCTGGCTTTCTTTGTGTGTTCCTGTCGAATCTATCATTTTTCAGTTTCCTGCTTTTTTTCAAATTCTCTCCTGACTGCTTGTATCGCGACCTCCCTTGTCCACCGCGATTCTCTGTGCACTCCATGGTTCATGAGCTCAAAGACCTGGATTGGATTATTCTTGGTTGTTGCTTATTTTGACACCTCTCTGTTTTCATTAGATAGTTTTGAGCTTTGTACCAACTACCTCTAGTACACATTCGCTCTTGCTCGTTTGCACTTTACACACTTGATCCTACGAACATTCCCGAGATTGCGGCACAAATATTTGTCCCTAGGTTTTCCATGCACACCTGACGTCCGTGATATGGCTGCGCCAACTGGCTTGCCTTTTGGGTTTGCGTTTGTACTATCCTTGATGTTAATCCGTCTTATAAGATTGGATAGCTAATTTTGATGCTAGCTAAAGCCTGGATATTGTCGTTGCCACCACCACTGTAACGAGCAGCGCATACAAGGTATATAATCTAAATACAAGTCCGGTGAACGGGCCAACCAAAGTTCGATTCTAGGTGCCACACGGTCCAAATTGCGATCGTGATTCATCCGTGCGATGAGTCCGAATTTTTAAAAATGAATACTGTTCTTCCTTTCGGCTTATCTTGCTCCACATTTTTGCCATCATGTTCTTCATTATTTTGTTTCACTTTGGCCTTTGGTTGTTATCGAATTCAGACTAACATAAATCTCTTCCCATCTCGTAATTTTCATTCGCCCCAACAAAACCATCGTAATGAATTGTCTAATGTCTCCACTTCAGGCTGTCGTCATCGAACCAGAGAACTACGGTGCTATCGAGTCGTTATTGCATTCTCAAATCAGAGGAATGTATTCCATTGAGATCATGGGAACCACGAAGTATGAACACAAAAGTAGCGATGTCAGTCAACCCGCTGTCAACGTACCAGAACAATCTCTTGATGAGAAACCGCTGCCTTTTACTGGGGATGAAACTGCGATAGCCTCCATAAATAGTGTTACCTCGAAATCCAACACAAAAGGCGCTAAACCACTGCAGCCTAACCCGCCTACTGTTACTGCACCTGTGGTAAAGTCGAACAAAACTCAACGCCGTCACAAGCGAGGAAAGCGCAGACCGCGCGATGATGATTGGCCTGACGATGATGCTGACGAATCTTGAATCCAACCTCCTCTTTCCCTTTGCTACTGTTTACCACGAGTGCTCACACAAACCACGTGTTTGCTTCTTTTCTACAGCGTTATTTTTACACTATCCCCTTTGACAGCTTGCGCTTCTGACATTGCCCTACCTCTCTGTATATTCGCCCCATCATTCCTGCAACATGTTTATCCCACCTACAGTCTATTCTCATCTTCAGTGTGCGACCGAATTCGGTGATGAGTCACCCGGTTCCTCTTGATCAAGGTTATTTGGCTTTCTGTGAATCCCCGTGTGTCACTGTTTCGTTAGCTCGGCTCCTCCGTATCCTCGTGGGCCACATCATCATCAGGCCGGCTCTTGATGTGTTGCCGCGGTTTGCGCACCTATTTGTTGCGTTAAAACACTCTGGGCGGCACTTCTCACGCATCTTAGAGCCATTTATACCAAACAGATAAACTCATTTTCAGCACACCATCACATTTTAGGCAAACACCAATGATGCTCTTCTTAAAGCTAAGTTGTGCACGAAATATCCAACGCGTTCTAGATAGCATTAGATCACACAAGCCGCCTGTTAGTTGTGAACGCAACTCTTGATAGCCTACCATCCTCCTCGATCCAGACAGTTTATGAATATAATGTCTCAAATCTGCCATAACTCACTTGCGGTGGACCGTGGTCATAGGTATATCGTGTTCCACAGCTGAAAAAATTCATCAACGCCTTAAGACTGCCCGTGATCGGCCTCAAGTAGAATCCCAACTGACTCTACAGCAATATTCTGTAACTCGACCCAATATCCGAAAATTTACGGGTCGATATGTTGCCTTATCAGTCATCGGTTTATCCTCCACAACAGCATTAAATCAGCCATCTGGACGTGTGCCGCTACTGTACAACCCCAACGCCTTGAGAAGACAAAGAGCCTACATCTGGCTAACAACGCCTAACTACGAACAGATGGCTATCGTGCGAAAACCATTCCCTTTTGGCTTTCATTATTCCATATCATAATAAATCATTACTCTGCAGATAACTGACCACCAGACAAAATTCAAATAGGTTGTTCTACTAGCAGGCGACGGCAAACGCGCCACTGGCATCAGCTGCTAGTCATTCCCTGGAAAGCTTCGAATCCCTTGACCTACCAATGGCACTCGCCCCGGACAAAAATGAACAACTGTGCCATATTGAGTTCACCGTTACCTAAATAACCAAGTGTTCACGATTAAACTCCTCGGCACACGCTAGACCAGATGGATTCCTCCAGTGCCTACTTAACAGAGGCGGATGCGATTTACCTTTACTGATCCTTAACTGTTACTCAATAAGGGAGTATATCTTACACAATGGAAGGCCACAGTTGCTACACCAGGGCACAAAATCGCATCCCTTCTTGAGGTCATACCTCCATACTCTTTAAAGTAATGGGGAATGTTATTAAAAGAATTGATCGGGCTTTTTCAATGTAGGAAACTGTTAATAATTCACAGCGTGGGTTCTTACAAGGTCCGATCTATGCAACCTACCAGACAGGTTGCTTAAACCAAACAACAGCAGTCATAAATGAAGTGTTATATTGTTATTCTTCGGTGTGCATAATACTCCCCAGGAAGTCCCACCAAACATCACTCAATAAGATAAAGTCTACTGGTATCGAATTTCTTTTGCTAACTTGGTTTTCAGAGCTAATTCATCACAGTCCACTTTCAGTCAGCAGGCTCTGGAAACGTACCAGACAGCGCTTCTACCTTCTGGTTTTCGTCAGACGTACGCCTTCCTCGGACCCCTGCCATGTTCCGACCCCCTTACTTCCAGATGCCAACAGCTTGTGCCGTTAAGCCATTTGTGACGGTCGCGCATCTGCGTGTTTGACAGTTAACTATGCTATAGCTATCTAAATCCGTCCATATAGCTTGTAACTGCTGTATCGCACACGGTCGCTATGCGGAAAGTCCTAGCTCTTGGGGCTAATTACTATCCTCTGCACAGTTCTTAACTGGCGTGGCAGTAGAAGATCAGCCGGGCTATATCATAGCCAACCGTCAATCATGCAGGTCCGCGGCCGTCACCCATGGCTTAGTGGCACAAGCTGCTGGCATCCGGAAGTCATGGGAGCGGAACCCATCAGGGGTTCGAAACACTTTAATGTCAAGTCAATACACTGGTTTATGCGCCCAATACTGTGAATCCACAGCCCCAACAATACGCCTGTAACTCACGTGTCCCTTTTTCTAGCTCCATAGTTGGGGTTGTACTAGCCACTGAGAACAAGCTTATTTGCTACGTTATACTTCTAGTATCAAAAGAATATCGAACTGTGAAACATTAGCAATAAAATAAAAACAGTTTAATAAAAGATGGGGACGATGTCATACTCCGAGTTGGCTTGCTATTCCTCGAACGGTGGAGTAGTTTAGCAAAAAGCACAATAGATAAGGGATAGCCGGCGATGTATATCAACATATAATTCTGCCTGGTAGACAAGTTGGCTTGTAACGGCAAGTAGCTTTGACATCCGTATTTTTTACACTAACCGATTTACAGATAAAATTTCGGTAACGAATGTACCGTATTTTTCGGATGATAAGACGCAATATTAGTGAGAGGATCTAATTTCATATCTAAGGTGCACCGGATTATAGGGCGCATAAAGTTCATTTTGAGTACCAGCTACTTCACTTGGGCAGAAGAATACAATCACTCATTCAATATGGACAAATGAAGAGCCGCTTGTACTGAGCTCCTGTATGCAGCGAAAACAGAATATCATAGCACTTTGCTGCCTTAAGAGACAGATTACCAGTTTTAGACCAAACAGTACAATGGTTCCAAATGGCTCGCAGCCTAACTGAGCTATAGTGGTCTGGAGACTAATACTCAGCGTACTTCAATCGGGTTGATTATTCAAGGGTTTGCATTGAGCCGACGTATGTAGAAGTGGTAACTAATAACAGGACTTCTCCCTGGTGATCAGAGGGGGAAATCTGCCGCCATATCGGGTATCCTGATTGCGTCTATCGAAATAATCACTCTACGAGTGGACGAAGAGAGGATAATTTCCATCAATGAGTAGCTTTTCTAACAGTAGTTCACGCTTGACGGTCAAGGGAATTCGTGAGAATATTTGTAACTCAGAATGCGGATGAGGATATTCCGGTGTTCTCCGAGCTGAGTGATTTTGCTGCAGATGTTTCATCGTCAGGCTAGACGGCATCATCAGTGCGATTTATGCGGGCAACTTAGATTTGGAAATTGTCCGTATAGACCGCACTGATGATGTCGTCTAGCCCGTCGATGAAACGTCTGCAACCAAATCACGCAGCTCGGAGAACACTAGAATACCTTCACAACCAAGCGAGTTAGCACAGGGTACACGGGGCATGCCAGCGCGTTTGTGGTTTACTTCAAACTACGGTAGACCAACTGAAAGAGATCATTCGAGCACATCTGCGATAGCATCATTTGATGATTGCTTTTTCTAGAAGTACGAGCTGTTTCTTAGTGTCACCGCTTTTAGACACAGTGGGCGCCGAAGTGCCTCTTAGTACCCCACTATAGTTGGCCAGCGTTAGACCCAAAATTTACAGTTTGCGTGGTCCCATTTTTGATTGTCACTCGTTCTGCAATACTTGCGTCGACTCTTATCATGTTTTGGTAAGCCGTTATTTCATCATGAACTTTACCGTGAAGCGTACCAAGTGTCTCCCTTGGTTTGTAATTGAGAAGTTAACCCAGTCCTCGGCCGGGTAGACCTAACAGGATGCCCTTCGTACCGAATTTCCTCTCTCTCGTCTTGATGAAACTGAGCTTCAGTGAATTAGATTCTCAACCGCGACTCACAACGCGACAGCCTCGGCTTGTGGTGCTGTCACTTGTCACCGCACCAGTCATTGGACATCCGGGAGGTCAGGGAACTTGTTAGGATGCGGAAGGAACTTCTAAACTGGCTCTAAGCATAATTTAACCGGACGGACAATTGGGCGCCAACTGAAACAGCCTCCGTGCTGACAAGGAACTAGTGGACTAGTCAGGCAGAAGAAACGAAGGAGACGGTAGCAGTAGGTAATTCTTACAGTCTTTTCCAACTGATCCGCACTGCTGGACCCAAGAAATCAGGCGTCAGTGAAACTATCAGACAGCACAGCTGCCGTGATTCACAATCAAGAGTACTGTACAGCTCATTCGGCGGAGCAATTTCGTGATCAGTTCAGTTGGCGCCCTGCTCCTAGACCTTTTCCTAATCAGATGGTGCAAGCTGAGGCTTTGGTAGTTAGTTTAGAGGCTCCGTCGGAGGCAGAGGTCCAGAACGGGATCATTACCTACAATGTTCTTCGAGTCACTTGTCCGGATTTCCTTGAACCCCACTATTACATGATGTGGTGAGGTCCTTTGCAAAGCACTAACCTCCCTGTTCGGACAGATCTGGAAAGGAAGAGACTATCTCAACTAATTGGAACGAATTGAGTAAGATGAGGATATGCATGAATTGCAATCGCACTGACTGTGCTGAGCACAGGTGTATTAGCGTCACGCAAGTGATGACAACATTCCTGGCTTCAATTCGCCCTCTGTTCTTCGCTGCGGAACGGGAATCCTGGATGAAGTAAGAGCAAGCAGATTTCCATCTAGGACAGGTTTGAATAGAGCATATATGTACTTTGCAGCAGGTACTAAAGCAGCGCCACATGTATCGCAAACCGACAGTAGCTGTGTTCCTCGATTTCAAGAGTGCAATCCACTCAGTCGATAGATGCAACTGTTCCAAATACTTGCACGGAGATGTTCTACCATGAATGTGTGAACATATTACGTGTCCTGTATTGGAACACGACAGGCTGCGTCAGGACCTATGCCGAGCTGTCGGATATCTTCGCGACAACAACTGGCGCTTTTCAGGGTTGTATCAGTTCCCCATTTCCTTTCAATTTTGCCCTACGGAATCCTACTATGCATGCGTTGATGTGCTGCATGGTGGAAAACTTGTTGCTCTTGCTTATGTGAACTATATTGTATTACTGTTTAAGCCAGTCGAGCAAAGATATGCTTTGTAGACCCAAATGGGTGCATGTTTAGCATTTTACCTTATCACAAACCAGGGTAATAAATCGGCACAAAAATGTAAAATTTTACAAATGAGTAGACCCAAATTAAAATGTTGCGACTCCATGATTCCCCGGTTCTTTTGAAACATGATGATACAATTCTTCTAAAATGTTATATTTTG